GATGGAGCGCTCTGTTCACGACTCTCTGTGTGCGATCAAGCGCACTCTGGAAAGCGGGAGCATTGTTCCCGGCGGTGGAGCCGTGGAAACCGCACTTCACATCTACCTTGAGGAATTCGCAGTCACAGTGGTAAGTAATACAATTCGCTATTCTTTGCTCCTATATCGGTTTCTAACTTTTTTACTAAAGGGCTCACGTGAGCAACTGGCCATTGGCGAGTTCGCACAGTCTCTCCTTGTCATTCCTCAGACTCTGGCAGTCAACGCAGCGAAGGATTCATCTGAGCTTGTTGCCCAGCTCCGTGTCCGCCACGCCCTGTCACAGCGTGTGCAGGATGGCGATGCTAACGAGGAGGAGAAGGCCATCGCCAAGAAGAAGACCTACCGCAACTACGGCTTGGATCTGACGAAGGGACGGGTTCACGACACTTTGAAGGCCGGTGTGCTGGAGCCCAGCATGAGCAAGATCAAGCAACTCAAGAGTGCTGTGGAGGCTTGCATATCCATCATGCGTATTGACACGATCATCAAGCTGGACCCCGAGCAGCAGCAGGATGACGGCCACGGCCACTAAGCCTAAGCTTACTTTGACTACCCCAATCCCAAAAAAAATGGCAGTAATATGATGTGACATAGATGATAAGCAGTAGTAAATTTTCATTTTCGCTGCACTGCATATGAACGAATTTCTCTCAAAGTAGATACATGAAGCTCGTAGCCCTAAATAACCATTCTACTAGATCTATATCCCTCACTGCCGCCTGGCAGCCATCAACTTCCGGTATTCCTCAACGATATTCCTCCGCTCACCAGCCAATTCCTCACGGCGTCTCAAACTCCCAACCGCAGCAGGCACATTGGCAACATCAACCTTAGCCCCACCACGCACTTTGAAGATCTCCCGGGGTTTAACCAATTGAGGCGGCGCTTTCGCAACCTCGAATGGATTCCTCTTCCGCTCCTCGTCGCGCTTCTTCAGCTTAGCCCAAGGATCAGGATCATCATCCCCGCTATCAGCGTCCCCATTAGCATTCGTCCCCTTCTTCTTGCTTTTCTTCGCAGCCTTCTTCTTCCCCCCAGCAGCCTCAATCTCCCACTCTTTCCACTGCCGCAACTCAGCCTCCATCTCTTCCTCCCTCTCTTCCCGCTCCTCCTGCTCCTTGTCACGGATCTTAGCATCCTGCTCACGCCACCCCTTCTGCAATCGCAGCAGGTGCTTCTCATGCTTCGTCCGCTTGTGTTGCTCCTTGTTCTTGGCATCACCCGTCTTGACCGACTTGGTCATCTGCGACAATGGCATTTCGCGATCAACACGTGCTACAAACTCGGCCAGCCGCTCGCCAGGCATGATCTTGGGCGTTTCAGTCTTCTCCTTGACGGCGGGTTTGGGTTTTTGTGTCTCCGCTGCCTTCGCGGGCTTCTTCGATGACGCTGTTGAGTCTTCTGTGGCATTGCGCTTGCGCTTGTTCGGGCGCTCGCCCGTCTCTAGTCCTGATGGCGCCCGTCGACCCGTCTGCTGGTATTGCATTAGGCGGCGGAATGCTTTCGGGGTGTCGTCTTCGGTGACAGTCTTGAGGCGGTGGGTGGGTGCTTTGTTGGCGCTCTGGTTCTGGTCTTTGCCTTGGTTCTTGTTGACGAGTTTTTTGCCATTCTTGCCTAGCTTAGGCTTGACTAGATCGCGGACTGGAAGGGCTTTTGCGATCTCTGAGGGTGGGAGATTGAAGTGGCTGCCGCGAGTGGAATTGTCAGTTTTGGGCTTTGAATAAACTTGGTAATTACTAGTGCTCACGCTATATCGGCTTCGCCACGTCTCTTGTGTTTGTGAGGCATTTTGGGTGGTTTTGCAATGGAAGTTTGGAGGATTGGAGTTGTTGGCGGAACTTTTTTTCATCGAGGTTAGCCTTATCTTACTTATCGCTCTATGGGCGGTCCACGGATATCCCCAGCATTCGCCTTTGAAAATATCAGTGTATTGGCATACTCGAGAAAGAAGTAATTGAACTTGATGAATGAGGGATATGTTTGTTCAGATAATGCAAATAAGTCCGAGATAAAGGGTATGCTTCGCTAATAATATGCCCCCAAACGCCAGTAAAATGCCCACAGGCAAAAAAAGAACACCTAGGAAAATGCAAAACAATAACAATCACAGAAGAAACCGGGGAATCATTCGTCTTCATCGTCAATTGAGTCTTTCATATCAGCCCAGCCACACATGTGGCGTTTACCCTCAGTTTCACCACCGTTTCGAAGCTCGCGAGCCTCAGGTCCCTCACGCCAGCATCGAGCATCGTAGTCATCACTCACGGAAATGAGTTCGCCAGATGGTGTCCAGGACAAACCAGTGACCTCTTTCTGATGACCTTCGATGAGGGGAGTGCCTGATTGGTAAATTGGGATGGTATCTTCGAGACGGCCGGACAAGCCGATTCCAGAGTTGGTGCGACGAAGACCTGAGCGAGTGGTGAAAAGGGAAGTCCTGCTAGGCAGAGATTCGGCTGGTGTTTTCACGGTAGAGTTGAGGAATCGTTCATCGGTAGGGAAGAGGATGGGGCAGTGGTCACTGCTCCCAGTTGCCAACATCTCCGGATGATCGTAGCTTGCTTTGCGCACAGCCAACTTCACATAGAATGAGGATATTTGGAGGCGAGGATGGCGGAAACCATAGAGAGGCCCAAGACCGTCCTTGTCGGAGCCTCCAGTCCTTCGTGGACGGTTGTTGTTGAGCGAGAGTTCAGGCGCATGTCCGAGAATTAAGTGTGATGTCGAATATGTGTAAACAGTATTATCCCGGCAAAGTGTGTATAAGCGTGAGCCATCTCCTCCAAATGCCATGGAAGTTAGACCAAAGCGTCGGTACTTCACATGGCTTTCTGGCTCTTGCGTTGTAGATAGAGGAATGACGGGTCGACCACGGCGATTGTTATGGGCTGTTCGCAAGTCCCACAGTCTGACGCTTGCGCTAGCCTCGGAAGCCGTAACAAAAAGATTTTCGCGTCCAGGCGAGAGAAAAGCGAGGGAAGTAACGGTGATGTCGGTTCGGCCAATTGGTGGCGCATCATTTTTGTCCGTGATCGGTTTATGAGAGGTCGTGTATGCATGAGCACCTTGAATGGTATTCAGAACATGCGGATATAACATCTTTGGCTGCGCAGTGGTCAAGACATTTTCGGTCTCGGATAGGGAGCATTGGACTTGCAATGCAGGCCGTTCAAACCCCTTGCAGCGGAGATCCCAGATATTCACATTTCCATCCCGACTGCAAGTAGCAAGAACTTTATTGTTGGATGCCGGTTGGAATTGGACACGCTTAACGGAGGATGAGTGATTCGATAAGCAGTGGATAGGTCGTTGTGTTGTCATATCAATAATAAGAGATGTTTGGTCGCCAGATGCTGTAGCCAGTAGCATGTCGTCCGAGGAGAACTCGAGATCCATGATCGAATTCATGTGCGGACGGAACCCAAGGTATGCATCAGCGAATCCAGGATCCTCGTCAATCGATGAATCCAAGAGCCGAATTCCACCCTCTTCATCGCCCACTGCAACAAGAGAATTTGCTTCCCATTTGTTAGCATGTATAGGACCAGTCAGGTAAAACATGACTCACTGTTGCATGAAGCATTACAAAATGGGAGGGCCACTGAACGCTCCGATCCATAGCTAGAACACATGTGACGGTCCCGCGGTTTCGAATAGAAGTTGGAAGTTAGATCTTGCCAGCCTAGATAAAAGATTAGAGGTGTATAAGAAAGCCATGGGGGTAAATACCAACCAGCGCCAGAGTTAGATCGTAGAGTTACTTTATTTGCCCGAGCCCCCATCACATTTCGCATAAACAAAGCACCAGATGATTGCAATGCCTGGGAGCAGCGCACAGGGGCCACGGGGGGATTTCGTTTGGGTGGACTCGGCGGTGCTGATGCATCAAGGCGGATGTTGATGTTTGGAATTTTAATATCTTGTTCCACATCCTGCGTCGGAGACCGGACACGAACTCTCTTCAGAGGCGAGGATTGCGGCGAGACGACTGAGGAGAATGAGTTCTTTCTTTTCCTGCTAGGGGTGCGAATGAAGTCCTCCGGTAAGCCATCGTGAGGGCTTCTGGTGCTGCCAGCCTTAGAGGTTCTTGAAAAGGCCGGCCCTAGACGATTCACCGCGGGCGATGATAGTGCCCGTAATGCCTGGCGGCTGGTTGAGGGCGTGATAGAAGTATCCCCAACTGGTAATAAAGAGCGCGGGGTAAAGAATCGACGGAATGACCGGGGCGTTACAGTCGGTGGCTTTCTAGGTCTGCGAGTATCGGAAGCAATAGACGGCGGGGATGAGGGTGGCTCTGGAGGAAGGACAGGCTCTGACCGGGGTACTTCCGGGAGATTGAAGGTGTCCATTGTGTGTTGAACAAAAAGCAAAGAGAAAATCAAAGGCTATGCAAGCATTGGTGGTATTGGTGGTGGCTGGAAGGCTAAAGAGGGTCAGAGATTAATCGGGGAAGTTGGATCTTTTCCCGTGTCGCGACGTGACGCGATCGTGTTAAGGCATCTAAGGCATTTCAACCCCCTCCACCCTTAATGCCGAACTCCTTCACTCTAAATTATTCCCCCTTGATGTTTGAATAAGGCAAGTCAGTTTGAATTAGTTCCTAGGTTAAAGTATTTTCCCGGTTTTGGTTTCAAAACGCGTGAAATCACACGATATTGATCAATTTTCAATATCAGACTACTATAATCATGGAACGTTGGAACATCAAATAATTCCCTTGATTAACTTTTAAAGAATGCTCAAACAGAGGGAGATGTCAGGACCTAACTCAGGTTATGTTGTATGCTCGAAGTATAGGTCCTGTCACGTCATGTGACCTACAAGGCTGTATAAACATATATTGTCCAAACATCAAACTACCCTTTCCTCAACCTTTCCCTTGAAACCTAAGCAACATTTGCTCCATTCTAACGACATATGTACCTTGCCTCTCAATCATACTTTTCAATTTCCACAAAATGCCAACTACGACAGCTCTTTCTCCTTTTACGTCCGACCTAGAGTTAAAGTCGTACTGTGAAGACCAAGACTTCCTATGCAACGGAGAGCCCGAGCCTAACAGTCGCTCGCAGACTTTGATCTACCATTTTGAAAACAAAAAGTGGTGGATCAAAGTAACTTTCAAAGGCGCGATTTCTTCTTTCCCCCAAAACAAAACAAAATGCGAACGACGAAAGGAATACCAAGACTTTGTCAAATTGATCGACTTTGATCCCTTGGCCCTTCTGGATGATACTGTATCTGAGGTAATATTGAGCGAAGCCCCGGGAACAGTTGATTCTATCAATCTGCGTCACGACCTAGAAGATACCAGCAATCGGTTTATAAGGCTTGTTGGAAACCTACGGTTCTATATCCGGGAGGACCCATTGAGTGACTTATTTACCATGCCTCCGATTTCCCTCTTTCCGCGCTATCAATATCGCAGAATTGATAGAAGAGGATGAAATCACCGACGGAGTATTCCGCGTTTTACATAGGAGCGACAGAACTCCTTACATCCTCAAAGTAGTCAATCGCCCTCTTTATCAACCACGCGACTCGGATGTCATACAAAAGGAACTAGAGAATCTTGAATATTTCAAAGGCGTGATAGGGATTGTGTAGTCAGCTGGTATTGCGGTGTTTAACAACCTGTATGCGACCTCCCAAAATGTCGAACAAATGGTTATCGGCGGTATTCTATTAGAATACTATAGTGGCGGTTCCTTACAACGTGTTTTAAGTGAACAGCGTATAAGGAGATTCGGTTGGGAGCGATGGGCTATCCAAATTGGGAATGCTTTAAGCATTATTCACGGTGAAAAGAAAACGCATATGGATCTCAAACCTTCAAATATCGTTCTCGACGACGATGGCAATGCGGTTATCATTGATATCAGCGGTATCGGTGGAATAACGTACAACTGGCTTGCCCCAGAGATACGCGGTGAAATGTCACGTTTGGATCTTCCGTTCCAAACTCGTCGATTGAATGATGTTTGGGCCTACGGGAAGATTTTGACTGAAATTGCGTTAAACGCAGGGAACAGTCCGTTTGCGAGAACTCTGAGGTGGGTTGCGGATCATTTAACCAAAGATGTTGACGCCCGGTGGACTCTGTCTGATGGATTATCTCATTTGAAAAATGCTCAATGTGTTGATTAGTTGATGGAAGTGAGCTGAAGCCTCCCCTCTTTCGGTTGCTCTGTACTAATGACCACATAAATTGTCTCTAGATACGGGGTACTCTGTATAAGGAATCAAGGATGTGAGCTAACAGAATGAACAATAAAGAAGGGGCGCCGGAGCACCTAACCCTCTTTATGTAGGCAGTTAAGTGAATTGCTGAATTAAGGATTGGGGTGGCCAAGGCAGGGGCTGCATGATATATGATGTAAACAAGTTGATATTAGTGCGAACATATGTTCATGTACTGCAGGTTGCCTTCTAAAGGGCAAAGTCGATGACTTGACTGCATGTGGTAGTCAGATATATACAATAGACCTTAATGGTTCGATTTCTCTATGTGAGACTACTAGGGATACGATCTTCATCCCCTCCTCTTGCTGTTATAGACTGTTCAATGGATGTAGTTAAGAATAGGTATACTACCTCGTGGCCAGGGTGGCGGAGACAATATTTCCATGTACAACCATGACTCACAAACACAGAAATCTACCATATTCTTACACTAGTGCCATATGGTAAGCCAGATTGTACATAAAAAAGGCGATCAATATACACGGTCTTTCAGCTCCTCAGCTCACTCTTTCGAGAATTGTAATATCCAAGGTCTAATTTTGCACATCAAAGCAAATAACAACTTATGAAAAGGGGCTGATGTATCCCAAGTCATCTTAGTCTGACCAATGTCCTATAGATACCTTCCATTATGACGAGACAGAGAAATGGAAAGCATCACTTGTGAGGATGCACTTACTCCCCGCTCCATATTTACTCCTTAGGGAGCACAGGACATCGTAGGCCGATTTCAAACACACCTAGATAGCTTCAAGATGGTTGAGTCCATACAGATCTCGGCGGGATTCAAGGTTGTTTGTCCTTGGAATTCAGGCATTAATTTGCTGACTCATGACCCCAGGTCTTGACACCGCCCTGAAGGTTCTGCCGCATCCGCGGAATTTTTTTAATCTTTTTTTTCGAGGAATTAGACTGCAATCTGCAACTGCACGATTCGGTTTTGCCAATTTAAGAATGGCACCAATCAAGCGCAAGGGGAATGCCCCCGAAGAAAATACTGCCCGCCAGCCCCAAAAACGTGCTAAAGTTGGAGCGGAGGAGGTCAAGAGAGACCACAAGAAGTCAAACGATGCTACCATATCCACCGCTGGGAAAGCTTCAGAACTTTCTGTGCTGCGCGATGACGAGCCCTCATTCCCTCGTGGTGGCGCAAGTGTTCTGACACCATTGGAGCGCAAGCAAATTCAGATTCAGGCCAACAGAGATGTCTTGTTCGAGCAGAAAGAATCTGGAAACAAGAAAACTGCCCAGAAGACGCCTTCCAACGAATTCGCCGAAGAAAGCGACAACGATGTTGAAATGGAGGACGAAGAAACAACTACGACTACGAAGAAGTCGCGAAAGAAGAAGTCAAAGAGCAAGAAGTCCGCAGACAAGGAAACTGATGACAAGCAAAATGTTCGCATCGAGGGTCTTAGCTTCAAGGTACGTGCTAGAAAACTCTTTCCTGTCGCATCACTCTAACAATTATAGCGCATTGTACCCGGAGCCATGATCCTGGGCCAGGTCTCGAGTATCAACGCCCACGACATCGGCCTTTCGCTCCCTAACAACCTTACCGGCTACGTCCCTCTCACATCCGTTTCGAAGGGCCTCGAAGACAGACTTGAGAAGATGTTGAACGACGAAGCTGGGGATGACGATGCCGAGGACAGCTCCGACGAGGAGTCCTTTGACTTGAAGGATCATTTCTATTTGGGTCAATACCTGCGAGCATTCGTCGTGTCTACTGGCAGCAACCCGGATGATCCAAAGGCAAAGGGCAAAAGGCGAATTGAGCTTTCGGTTGACCCTAGACAAACAAACACCGGCTTCTCAAAGTCTGATCTTGTTGTGAACTCGGCTGTCCAAGCGTCCGTTGTCAGTGTGGAAGATCACGGCGTGGTCATGGATCTGGGCATCGAAGGCTCAGAACTGAAGGGCTTTATGTCCTCCAAGGAGACCGATCCCAGTGTGGATTATTCTAGCATTAAGGAAGGCTCTGTTTTCCTTTGCATGGTCACTGGCCAGAATCCCAGTGGCAATGTCATCAAGCTGTCCTCCAACTTCCAAACGTCTGCCTCGATCAAGAAGTCCAACTACCTCAATTCGGCGCCTACAATCAACACTTTCCTCCCCGGTACCGCTGCGGAAATTCTTCTCACGGAAGTCACATCGAACGGAATGATTGGAAAGATTATGGGAATGCTCGACGCAACCGTTGATTTGGTCCAGTCTAGCATCAATGGCAAGATTGATCTGGAGAAGAAATTTAAGATTGGTGCAAAGATCAAGGGCCGTATTATTGCGACTTTCCCGGCTGCCGAGCCGCTCAAAGTCAGCTTTTCTATGCTCGACCACGTCCTCAAGCTCTCTTCCGATGCTCGCGGTCCCGGTTCTTCTGATGATGCACCTGCTATTTCCGCAATCATTCCTGAGGTCAAGATCGTAAAGGTTGATCAAGGTCTGGGTGTGTATGCTCGGATTGGAGAAACAAAACATATGGGCTTCGTTCACATGTCGAGACTCTCTGATGGCAAGGTTGAAACAGTCGATGAAAGTTCTGGACCTTTCCAGCTAGACGCTGTCCACGAGGCAAGAGTCATTGGGTACAACTCTATTGATAACCTCTACATTCTCTCATTTGAGAAGAGCGTTATCGAACAGCCCTTCCTTCGCGTCGAAGATGTGAACGTGGGTGCTATTGTTAAAGGAAAGGTCGAGAAGCTTCTGATCGGTGCCGATGGTATGACTGGATTGATTGTTAACCTGGCTGACGGAATCACCGGTCTTGTTCCTTCCATGCACTTTGCGGATACCATGCTTCAGTTCCCAGAGAAGAAGTTCCGCGAGGGGCAGAAGCTTTCCCTGAGGATCCTCTCTGTGAACCTCGAAAAACGCCAAATTCGGTTGACCCTAAAGAAGAGCTTGCTCAACAGCGAGTCTGCTATCTGGAAGGACTACAAAGATATCACTCCTTCGGCTCAGTCCCCTGGTACCATTGTCAATCTTCAGAGTCATGGTGCTGTTGTGCAGTTCTACGGCGAGGTCCGTGGTTTCCTTCCCGTATCTGAGATGAGTGAAGCATACATCCAGGATCCGGCCCAGCATTTCAAACTCGGCCAGGTTGTCAATGTTCATGCTTTGAGCGTGGATGCAGCCCTTGGAAGACTTGCTGTCTCGTGCAAGGATCCCTCGACATTCACCGAAAAGTATCGTGAGGCCTTTGAGAACCTTCATCCCGGCCACCTTGTTACTGGAATCGTCTTTGAGAAGTCCAATGATGATGTGCTTCTCAAGCTTGACGAGTCCGGCCTCGTCGCTCGTCTCGACGCTTCACAACTCATCGACGGTCCCCCATCGAAGCAAAGCTCGATGTTATCCAAGCTCCGCGTCGGACAGAAGCTGAATGATCTTTTGGTCCTCAGCATCCAGCGCGCTCACCGTCTTATCAAGGTTTCTAGCAGGGCCAGCTTGAAAAAAGCTGCCAAGCAGAAGAACATCCCGGGCCATTTCGAGGAAGTCCAAGAGGGCTCCCTTGTCACAGGATTCGTCCGCAACATCACACCCGACGGTGTCTTCGTTGAATTCCTCGGCGGACTCACTGGCTTGCTCCCCAAGCGTCTTATCGAAGACGCCAACCTCGAACAACCTCACTACGGGTTGACAAAAGCGCAAACGATTGTTGTCAATGTGCAGTCTGTGGACCAGGAATTCAAGCGCTTTATCCTGAGTATGAAGCCCGTTGAGGCTACCCAGGCCGCTCCCAAGAAAGCGGTCAAGCAGACTGACGAGAGCGTTGCCAACCCCGTCGATGACAACATCAAGAGCATGTCCGATTTCACATTTGGCAGAATCGTTGAGTGCAAGGTCGTCTCTATCAAGGCAACCCAAGTCAATGTCCAGCTTGCGGATAACATTCACGGCCGCATTGATGTGTCCGAGATATTCGACGACTGGAAAGACATCAAGGATCGCAAGCAGCCCTTGCGATTCTTCAAGGCCAAGCAGACTCTCTCTGCCAGAATCCTTGGTGTTCACGATGCTCGTAATCATAAATTCCTCCCCATTAGCCACCGCACTGGAAAGTACCCTGTGTTCGAGCTCTCTCTCAAGCCAAGCTACATCAAGGCCGCCAACCCTGCCCCTCTTAACATGGAGCAGGTTCAAGTCGGCTCCTCTTGGATAGGCTTCGTCAACAATGTCGCTGATGATTGCCTCTGGATCAATCTGTCCCCCAATGTCCGCGGCAGACTGCGCTTCATGGATGCATCAGACGACCTCTCCTTGTTGACTGATATGGAGAAAAACTTCCCCATCGGCTCTGCTTTGAAGGTCCAGGTTACCGCTGTTGACGCTGAGAAGGGCCACCTTAGCCTCTCTGCCAAGCAAGGATACGACAAGCTCACATTTGGAGATATCTCCGTTGGCATGATCTTGCCCGGTCGCGTTACCAAGGTCACTGAGCGCCAACTCATTATGCAGCTTGGCGAGTCACTTGTCGGTGCGGTCAATCTGATTGACCTCGCAGATGACTACTCCAAGGCCAACCCTACTGTGCACAACAAGAACGAGGTTCTCCGAGCATGCGTTATCGCCGTTGACAAGTCTAACAAGAAGATTACCTTGTCGCTGCGCCCCTCCAAGGTCATGAGCTCCTCTCTGCCCGTGCAAGACCGTGAGATCTCTTCGCTCAAGGATGTTAAGCCTAACGATGTCATTCGCGGCTTCGTCCGACGAGTCACCGATTCTGGTCTCTTCGTGGCAGTCAGTCACGATATCACTGCTTTCGTCCGTGTCTCTGATCTTTCCGATTCGTATCTCAAGGAATGGAAGGACTCCTTCCAACCAGATCAACTCGTCAAGGGTAAGGTCACGTTTGTTGACGCCGAGCAAGGCAAGCTGCAGTTGAGCTTGAAGGAGTC